AAAGCCCATCGACAGACCACGTTCCACGATAACTTAGGTAATCTGGAGACCGTGTGGGGAGAGGGTGGATTAGCCGTTCCATCCCTATCTACTTCGTATACACTAGTTACGCGTAGTGAAACTCTGGTACCTACGTAATATTTTGGAACCTCGTGGAAGACACTGGAAAAGCAAAGACGCTTCCTGTGGCTTGGACGTCACCGGGCCAATTAGTACCAGACCGACCTCGTTGGGGACTAGGTGGTTACTTCGTACTAGATCTACGAATACACAGTGCCTTCGAAGTACGGGGCCATGTGCACTCAGGCATGGATGCAGGGAGACCTCACGATTTGCCATGAAATGTGACGCTTCCTCCCCACAGCGGCATTGAGTGTGACTAAGACTCCAGATGGAGTCGTTCAGAACAGCCCATGTGTACCTAGCTTGGCGGAGATGTCCAATATCTGTTCCAGTCTAGCTGTTAGTGCCAGCAACAGTCTTGAACGCAAATCTGGCCGGCCTCTCGTATTCGACTGGGTCCTGCTAATCATATTCGAGCTTTTGGGAACATGTCCAAACTTCTCCGGTCAGGAGATACAAGGACTGACGTCGGTGTCCGGAAGAGTGGATATACGTATGGAAGTTACAAGGAGAAACAGGAAAAACAGTCTTAAGTGATACAAGCAATCTAGTCGACAGCTGGTGGTGGAGCGAGCGAATTTGGACAAATATTCTCAGTCTTGGACTGGTTTCATTTCGATATCTGGTCAATCTAAACAACTTCTGATAGCCAGCATCGCACCCAATCGTCCGCACTGCTTCTTTGGCCGGTCTTCGTGTGACCCAATCCCTTCTCCCTAGTGCCTCGTCAACTGTTTGAGAGACTCTTCAGCCCAGTCCAAGTAATCCCTGTTCCCTGGTGTCCCCCAATATCTTATGGGTCCGCATCTGAAAGCTCCCTAATCCTTCCTTGGGTATCCAAAATAAATTGCATCTTTCTCTCTCTCTTGAGCTGTCTTGACCGTTCTCTTTGCACCAGCTTCGCTTAGTCCCCCATCGCATAGACATGACATGCTGTAAAAAAAAAAAAAAAAAAAAAAAGAAACAAACTTCTGGGGATGATGCTGATGTGAAGCCCTCCTCACACATGTATCAGGATACAGATCTCATGCCGCCCCATACACCTGCCCATGCAAGGCAATAGCTGCGCCGTTGAGTGGTGAAGGTTGTCAGCTGTCAGCTGTGGCTGCCAAACTCTCATGGTGATGACGCCGTTCCCCCGTACAAAAACTTTTTTTATGATGTGATACTCCAAATGATGCCCATAATTTTGTTACAAGTAGCCCAGACAAAGAAAATATGATAATCAAGATGTGTCGGTGGTGCGGTGGCCGTACCCCGAACGGAAGATGAAGAAGTCGAGTCATGTTGAGTTGCGTGGTCTGTCGTCGTAGTAGAGAAAATGAGGTTGAGGGGAGGATCTATCGGGTGTTGTTAAATGTCGTTGGTAGTCGTTTCGGTCGTGCAAAATCTCCGCCGGTTTAGTACGAGCGGCGTCGCTGCAGCCTGACGTTGTCAAAGGAAGCAGCGTAGCCATGAAGCTCTTGCCTGGTCTTCTCAGGCAACTGGCTGCTGTCGGAGTTGGATGATGTGGAACTCTGCATCGAGCAGAGGCTGGTGTTGGAGCTCGAAGTCGATAAGGTTCGAGGGCCGTTCAAAGTCGTTGGTGATGTCTTCCTTGAAGAGATGTCGGAGGGGGAGGCAGGGGGAGTAGTGCTGAACGGTTGAGGATTGGTAAAGTCGATGGCGGGGCTGAGGTAGAAACGGCCAGGTTGTTGCTGCTTCCCCGTACCAGAGTAGGAGGAGCAGGATGATGTCGTCAAGGTATCAATGCCAGGCATAGAGCTGGACATAGAGGTCTTCTCAAAATCGGCCAGGCGGCAGGACTCGGAGCAGTAGGCTGTGCCATCGGTCTGCTTGTCGCAGCCCAGGCAGAATTCGTGGGTCCAAAGATCGGCCATGACGAAGTGAGAGGTAGGCGGATATTGGTTGACTGAGGTCAAGTTGGTTGAAAGAGGAAGATGCTGCAGCGCTAGGCACTCGAGCAGATAGATGTGGAAATGGATGACAGTGCCGATGGTAGAAATGCTGCTCGGACGGAGTGAAGCGAGATTATAATAAAGACGCTGCACGGAATTGGCTCATCACAGAAGAGACCGATGCCACGAGAAGAAAATAGTGGTTAAGAATGTAAAAAGTCTGAAGATGGAAAGCTCGTGGGAAGTCGAATGATAGGGAGAGCGGGTCGTGGATCGAGGAGTGGGAAGAGGTCGACTCATATTATGTATCGATCCTCGAAACATACGAGTATGGTGTGCGCAGCTGTTCCGCAGCACACCTCCAATGGATGGCTTGACGCCATCAGGTACCACGCTGGCCAAATTGCGTACGAAGGTACCTCGCAGAACAAGCACGCAGAACTTGCATTCACTGGTCAGGGAGGAGGACTCCACCATCGAAAGCTGCAACACCTGCAGGACGAACCTAACTTAGGCTAGCGCAAAAAGTAGGTGCCTAGCGTTCAAGCAGGCAGACAAGGGCAGGGGTGAGTGGGGTGCGGCTGGTGTGTGTTGTTGGTGGTGGCAGCAGTGAAAAATCCTTCCCTTGTAAGGTGTGGCGGGGTGTACATGTAGCTTGCTGGAAGGGGTGCATCCTGGTAACGGAGGGTGTGCGACTAACTCCAAAATTTCTCGAACTCCACAAGTGGATATATCCACTGCCTTCGACCTATGGTGTGGTGCCTGCAACCTTATCCAATGGTTGGCCGGATTAGAGACAGTCGCCTGTGTTTAGTTTGGTCAATGTGGTGTGCCAGTGCGACGTACGAAGTTACTGAGACTCGGCTTTACGCTAGTCCCTTACAGTCATCGGTGATTCGCTCACAAGGCGGGGTGTTGGCACAGCCCAGCATGAACAAGTCCAGGATGACGCCAGTGGGGCAGGACAGGGCAAAGGATACATACAACGTATGTACATATATGAAGTGAAGTAGAAACTGTTCGGCCTCGATGCTTGCAGAATTCGATTCACACAAAGACATGCATTTTACCTTACTGGAATCACGATAGACTGTACTCGCCACATATTCAAAGTATACGAATAATTTAAAGCATTTAGAGATGGGGGGCGTACATAGAGAGTACTTATTCGTAGTATAAGGCCCCTAGTATAGAGTATTCGTAGGTGTGACTCCTCCCTCGTCTTCGTTTCGTCAAAGATTACTCACTGGCAGATCAAGAATAGCGAGGGCGGCTAGCACAGAAGGGGCTAGTGTATACTTTGTTCACTAGCCCGGAAGGACATCGAAAGAGCAGCATTCGCGCTTGGAATGCCTTTTCAGCCAATCTGACTGCAGCGTGTGGGGGCAATCCGGCCGTTCCCTTGCGATGAGGGTACCTGCATGGAAGAGGAGTCGTAGTCACCGAACTAAACTTGCCAGGCAGTAACAACTCAAAAGAAGTTCCTCTTTAATTACTGGGCAGATGGTTCCCCGTGGTTTCTTATCATTGGCTGTATTGTAATAATAGTGGACTTCTGCTGCATCGATCGCATCAAATTAAAAGCACAGTCATCTGATTATATTGAAATGGACAAAGGGATGGCTGTACGAAATTATACCACACCTGACGTTTCCTGAACTCAGTACCCAAGTACCTGCTCGGTACCGTACAACCTACAACCGTTGGACTTCCTATTATTTGTCTACGTGCTTTCAGGACCTTGATTATAGTGTACCTTATAGTACCACATCGTACCTTATACAGCTACCTCAGTTAAAACCCACTTTCATGCTACCGTACGTACTATCATACGTACTTCGTCTTAACCTCGATATATTACCCTTGATGTCTGCTAGGTTGAAGTTTATAGGGCAAGTCATTTATGCTTCGGACGGAGTATGTTATATGTCGGAGATGCGGTTTCAATAATGCGAGTCCCGGTATCTTTGAAGGGCAAAGGCAAACAAATATGCTTATAGCACGTGTTTGAAAGTATTGTACAGGGAATTGATGCTTATGCTTATAATTATTATGATTATATGTAGCAATGGCCATTGGTATAGTTACTGTGATTCGTAGAGGGAGCTGTGATGTTCGTTCGTTGGTTTGAGTGACTTATCCCAAGTACCCGAGGTCGAGGAAATAAGGGGGTTATAGGTGAACTTGTACGTTGTATTGCGTTCCTGTTGCCTTCTGGTCGTCAACATGGGATCCTTGTCAACATAAACCAATCTGTGCTGGTTGTCCGGCACCCTAACGTCGTAGATCCGACCTAGAAAGGAAGTACCGTCTTGGTCTTCTCGTTGATCGATAACGGTGACTCTTAGCAAGTCCATGAAAATCAAGCCATATGTGGTGACTCCAAAGTTGACAATCTCTCCAGAAGGGTTTAAGCCAACTACCCTGGCTAAGGAGACTCCGAAACATTCATGAGTGTGAATGTAGAGTAGGAAGAGCATTTGCACTCTCGATATGAAGCTTCGCCTGCCTTATCTATACCGTCCACCGTTTCATCATCTCATCAAGCTATCCCACCGTCTAAACATTGGCAGTTAAGCTTGCACCCAGCCTCAGATATTCGACCTCCACCCGTGGTACGCAGTCTGCCTCGCAAAATTCCCCGAGGGGATGCTGACAGACAGACGGACACACAACACCACCCTAAACATCACCCCCCGAGTTACGTTGTATGGCGAAAGGTGTTGTGTGCATGGGACATGGGAGATTCGCCGCGGAGAGTTTTAAAGGTGGGAGGGAGCAGGGACCACGGCAGCCCCGCACCAGATCGTGGGGTTGGCACGCATCAACCCGAAGGTGGCTCCGCTTCGAAGGGCCCATCCAGATGGAGACCGGACGTTCGCCCGTCTCCGCAAATGTCCAATCAATGACGGCCAATATTCGAGAAGGGAGATAGAGGTAGAGATAGCGTCTATTCGCTAGATGCAGCGCGTCTTTGGACTCCTTATAAAGCACGAACTAATGGACGATCTCCGTGGACGCCTAACATAAGTGGTGTGATACGTGCTGCATCTTAACAACTGAATTGGAGAATTGGCGTCCTGCCTCCTTTCTTTCTCCTCCACGTCCTGGCCTGCACGTGTATGGAATGCCCAATCCACGCACTCTCCTAATATGTACTGTACGGTGCGGCACCTATACTAATTACGAAGTATATATTCTAGCTTCATACACGTGGACGTAGTAGCGCAGAACCAACGGCGCTGGCATTCGTGGAAATCCATACTAGGTATGCGGCAGGTTACACTTCTGCATGCCAAGTAGAGTCTAGCCTAATCAGACATCAGTTGCATATGAGACGCTTGGGAGGCCAGACTGGGACGAATCATCGTGTCCGTGCAACGAAATGACCTCCACTCCCCTCAAGACCCTGGCTCTTCACGCCCCCCCCCCCCCCAGACTTTTCCAACGCCCATCGCCATCGCCATCGCCGCCTGACCAAATTGTCCGAGGTACCTGCCAACAACTTGTTAAGGAGAGAGGGGGAGACGAGGCAAGAGAGTTCCAACACAGCGTTACATCTCCAGCCCTTCCTGCATAAGCTGCCGGCGGCACGTTCCAAAACCTGCAGTAGGTAGCAGGGCTCGGGAAACGAAAACCAGCAGGCGTTCCCTGAAATGGACTGCCAACAAGGGGAAAGGGGGGGACGGGGAGGCAGCACATCATCGTCCTTCAGTGGCATCATCATCTGATGGTGAGCGTCTTCCCAATCTCACAATCGTTGAACCTGTTCCAATAGACCAATCAAATATCATTTCCCCACGCGATGTCGGGGCAACCACCAGATTGCACCAGCAGCAGAGCAGTTTCGACGTTGCAAGTTGGAAGCCAATCAGACGTGGCCCATCCCCCAAAGCCCACGATTACCGTGACGATCCGCAAGTGCCGGCTTTGCAGTTCGAAGTCTACGAGGCTGTTGCCGGCTATCTTATCGTTCAGCGAGGTTTATGAATGCGGGCGCTCCCTGGAACCACTATACCTCTTGCACTGTAGACAACCGACTTTCCCCAAGTTCAATCCGTGGAGGTCTTCAGCGAGTTTCATCTGCCAGCATACATTGTCTGATCTGCATGTTCTCATGCATCACAAAAGATTGACAGGAGAAGGGCAGCCATAAACCCATCACCCCCCTTCCCCCTCCCTTTCTCCCGGAGCCCCCCCACGGGAGGGCGCGAACACACTATCCGTATGTGGTATACCATCCATCGTGAAGTGCTCCCTGCTCGTTGACTGTCGTGCTTCTCGATATTTAACGATAAGGACGTGCGAGTCGCTGGAAAGTTGAGAGATTTGAGAGTGGGGGGCACCCTGACGGTGCGCCCGCAAAACTGCACGATGGGTCGTTCGTTATAGCTCAATATGGGTGATAAGGGTAGTACATATACGTAGCAGTGCTACTCTGGGATGACACCCCGGAGCCGAGAATGCTACCCTCGTCGTCCGAAACTGGATAAACCACACGAATGAAAAGGCTTTTCGAACCACGACTAAATTGGCGTGGAGTGGAATAGACGAGTCGCTTCTTAATTCCTTACGGCGTAAAATCTCCCATAGGGTTCTCTTCGCAGGTCAGGACAACTGGGGGAGGACGGCGGCCGATTGTCCAGGAGGCCAATTAGTCAAGAAGCGAGAAGCGACTGTGCCTTTTGTTTACCTCCATTATCTATCATGGACGAGCCCCAAGGGTCCGCCGTTAGATATGTCCGAGACTGCGCGTCTCATGGCTTTTGCGCTGCGGCGTCCCAAACAAAATCACGTAGGATTCTTTCCTGGTCCTTGCAGCAGGGGCCACACCGTGGTCATTAAGCTGGACGAGCCTTAATGTACATACCTATGTACACTCTGCCCCTGGACAGATACCTAGGTACATACTTTGATCTGGCCGAAAATATCAGTGTTCAGGGGCAGCCCGGGGTACGTTGTATATCACGTACAACGTACATGTACGTACATAATGATGTGATAGCCCTTGCCCTTCATAATCTTGGGTCAAGTAGTCTCTGAGCTTACGAACAGAAGCCGGCCATTCCATATTAATTAATTGACGAATATTCGGCTGCCATCTTGCCTGCCGAAAGCCTCGTCTTCTCCCAGGGTCAAATCAAGTTGGCCCAAAGTTGAAAAGAGCTCCGTGTTCTCCTCGCTAGTCCCAAGGTAAAAATGGATCTTGTCTGATGCACGGGCTCCTATATGGCACGTGCTTGGAACGCCTTAGCTTCCACATACTGGGCTCCACTAGAAGAGCGACGGCTAAGCCCGCAGCAGTTAAAGGACCGCCGTTGTGACCTGGGGTAAAGGACTATGGATAGGCAGGTAACCGCAATCCTGTTGAATTCTTCCCACAGATATCTATGCTTCGTAACCAATGACGATACAACTGTATTTGGATTCCTATATGCGTAAGAGCATGGGTGACGTCCGAAATATTTGGTCGTATATACGAAAAACTGGGGTTCTCTATGGCTCGTACTGAAAGTCCTTTGTATGTGGTATCCGTACTTCTTTGTCCGTCAGTATGTACATAGGTACACTAGAACATCTCACTAAAACGAACAGACTACATACCTATCCCTGGCATCCATCCCTTCCTTAATAATCCTTGGATAAACCAAGAGGACCACAGTCAAGCTCGGTCGACCTAAGTTTTCATAATTCAGATCAAACTATTAAAGTGTATGTCATTGTGAATTGGCTCGGAAACAACTCCTTTCTTCTTAGAATTGTATATTAAACAGGTATTACATCTTAGAGGTACCTGCTACTGGATTGAGTATCTTCAGGGGAGTTTTTGTCTCCTCGCCCGTGTATCTAATCCGTAAGGTAAGTATAAGGGTATCTGAGGTACCTGACTTGGGCTGGTACATCACCTAACAAAGTGAGTACTACATGGGTAAGGTACAATATATATAGATTATCCCACAAAGGTCCAGTCCCAACCGTTGGATTTGCTTACCTAGGTAGGTACCTAGGTACCTAAGGTAGCGAAAGACTGAAGAAAAAAGCCACGCTCGGGAGAATTTCACCCAACAACCATAGTCTTGGGCGCTTGATCTTCTTTTCTCCGTCGCTCCGCTCTGCCATCCGTTTAGGTATAGTTACCAGAGAGAAACCCTGCGGAATCTCCCTCTCACGGAAATCGTGCAGGGCTCCCAAGGAACACCAGCAGGACGTTTCAGCCTCCGCCTCCGCCTTCTACCGGCGACTTGGGTTCGGGAGCACCGTATTTCCACCATGTAAGGAGTGTCTCTGCATGACATCTGCTCCTTTGTTGCCGAGTTTGGTGGTGGCTGTAGCGGGAACACTCAATTCCTTTTTTTTTTTTGTTGCCCTTTCTTTCACCAAACGAAGACGGCGCACCAGAACATCATACTTCGTACTAATGATGCCAAGCTTCTGGGGCCATCTTATCTTCCCAGAGTCGAGGAACGTTTTTGACATGGGGTAGCCAAACACCCTAGTCTCAGTAACAGGCCCTCGGATAAGAAATCGACGGAAGATGGAGAAAAACAAAAGAACAAATTAATTAATAAGAGCTCATCAACCTCGTCTCGAATATGAAAGAACCTTGGACAAAAGCGTCTCTAGCGCCAGCGCGCCATGGTTCAGTTAACGAGTATCATCAGACGGGCGTACCCCCCTTCTACCAGGGTTATGAGACTATGTAAGAGCATGTGTGACCACTCCAGCCAACCCACCGTTTCTCCCGTCTACGAGTCCTTGTGTGGCAGGCTCAATTTGACCAAATACGTACCGCGATACAAATCAATCACCTGGGGGGCGGGGGGCAGCTGGTTACTATTACTACTCTTCTTTCTCGTCGCACGCCATGATTACTTTTTACCGAGCACTTACTTCCCCGCAATCTAATAAAGGTCAGGAGTCGTCCGTCTGTACATGGTGGGTTGAGTGCAAGGACGCATGGGCGGCCCATGTCCTGCTGACGCCCTGATACCTCTTGGGCCCCTGCATGAACACCTTGGCGCCTGGGTCTTTTGTCGATCCCTGGTCCTCCCGTTTTCTCATTTTCTGGATGCTCGCTCGTTATCGCCATGTATATACTGAGTAGAAGTCAGAAGTCAGGGATAATGCATACGGCGTACTGTACCAAGTACGAATAAGAGATCCGGGGTTCTGGAGGGGGGGTTGCCGCCCAAAGGTGGAGTTGGCTAGGCTTGTTTCTGAATGGCTTCGTTAACGGAGGAACACCGTTGGTAGCCAAGTCCTCGTAGGTACGTATATGCATACGTTGGTAGGGGGGCGTGACCAGTAGCATGGCTATGGTTCGAGCGGAACGCCACAAATTTCGCCTTTGACGATTGGGACCTGCAAACAAAACGCCTCTTTTCTCTCTCGCTCGCTTTTTATTCCCTCGACTCTCCCGAGGGTAGCCAGAGACCACTCTCAGTCGGCACGCCTCTTACAGG